CCCTAATACCAACCCAAAACGTGAACCCGGAACGATCACGAACCCAAACAAGAACCGGACCCACACCGGACACGAACCCAATACTGACCCAGATACACACCAAACAAGAACCCGACACGAACCCAGACACCACCGGACACGAACCAAACACGCACCCAAACACCAACCCAGTTGCGAACCAAACGCGAACCCGACACCAACCCAAACACGAACCCTGAGATGCGACTGAAAATTACTTAGTTTCATTCAGCAAGCACAGCTCTGGAGCCTCCTCCAAAAACCTCCAGAATTTTATTGCCGCGAGAACACCACCCTAAAGCCACCATAATTTTAATATCACGAGACTTACTAAAGCTACCAATATCTTCGGGAGTTTAGTAACGGGAGAGAAGCGCTCGCGACATTAAAATTTCCAGGATTTTAGTCACGCGAGACAACGATGCAAGAGGCTTTCACGAAGAAACGCCGACAAGAACCAAGCTGCAGAGGAGCAGGGGTGCGAACGGCGCGCACAGGATCACGGACGCAAGCAGCACGACACCGGTTTATTAGAGAATAATCCAGTCAATTCTAAACATCCTTTGACGCGATATTTCCGTATTTATATGAAATTCATCCTAAAGAACCGAAGAAAACCTACTTATTAAAAACCAAGTTTTTAAAACATACAACATTAAATATGAAGCAACACCTGCAAACACACACAAATATATGTATATATGGTTTTTCTATAAATTATCTTTTGAATATATTCTATTATGTTCAATGGCTATGATAACTACTCAACAACAAGCTGAAGATACGCAATCGGATATGACTTCCCGGTAGATTAAGACAAAATTCTGTATTTCAACAAAGCTCATACATGGGCGGCCGGTGTAGTAGGTCCGGGGAATCGAATCAATTTGCAGGTTTGGAAGGAAAGGTCCGGTACATCAGTACATCAAATGGAAGTATTGGGCTGTATGTACACCTCTATACAGATACAAATGACGGATGACATAACTATTGACGTGGAGTGCAATAATATATGTGTAAGGTGCATGCAGACTGGCTAGCTTAAGTAGGAGACATAGTGCCGACTAGCAGGGCCCTGCGAACCACACACACACACACACACACACACACACACACACACACACACACACAACGGCTTCGGCGCTCCGGGGCTTACATATGCATACCGCGCACTTTTCTTCTCTCGTTCAAACCACGGCTCCACACCAGGTGTGGGAAGGCTGATATCTGCGAGTTTGCAGTGCTAGGAACATGATTTCTAGGTCATGGATGGGATAGGATTAAAACTGTACATTTTTATTCCTTATTGGGCTTAAGTACCCATAAAAATGTAAAAGGTTACCACACTATGACAAAGACCAGACCTTATGCATCGAGCCCTCCTTTACCTGATAACGGACGTGCTTTGCAGCGGGCCTGCCACCCGAAAAGGGGAGTGCTCAGCTCGTGAGCACGAAAATTGGGAAACCTTTGGTGCTCTGTACACTTGCAATGATGAACCGGAGCCCTGAATTCGGTTTGGGTTTTCAGCCCGAGTCGTTTAGACGTTTTATAAAGTGTCATATATGGCTTCATGATTTGGGTGGTTGGGTCTTAGAGAGGTTACGGGGTTGGAAATGTTGGAAATCTCCGAGCATCTGCAAGAACTGGACCTAAGAAATCACAGCCTGAAACCGACCCCAACAACATCGTAGATCCCATATAACCTCAGTCTTGCCAGAACCTCCATGACCCTCGAACCTCAACCTGGCTGACGAAATACACAACGAAACCCGATGCTAAAAACTAGTCATGCGCAAAAAGCAAACCTCGGGAGGTTGCTTGGGATGATGAGTAAGGATGCAGTAAAACGCCTACACTCCCGATGCTGGAAAGCCTCAAATCAGATAGCGTCCCAGACTCACCATGTCGTTGAGCTAGCGACTCAGGATATAGGACCGTGTTGCCTACGATATTTAGATGTTGTCTTGAGGCCTTGAGGCGTCAAGGTCTTGGCCGGTTCCGAATTCACCGAGCTCGGCACCGGACTCATGCACTGGAAAGAAGCAGGGACACAGCCTGTTCAGTGTCGCCGTCAGTTGCGAGCAGAGAAGCTCGTGCCTGCTCCTCGGAGAAGCCCATGGCGCACAAAGCCTGCAAGGCCGCACCCTCTGATCCGTCGGCCCAATCGTCATAACCATCCTGCCAACCCGCCGAGAAGGCAGCCAGCTGCAGCTCCTCCGCTCTCAAAGCGCACCGTGGCTTGGGCAGCCCGGCTGGAGCTGCACCAGCACGGCTCGCTGCGGCCCCGCCCGCACGTGCGCGGGTCTCGGCTGCACTGCCCACGGCCTGTCATGGATGGCAGCAGAGGAACCAAGGAAGCTAAAGGAACGCAAGTCCGGCTCGCTCGCTCGCTCGCTCTCTCTCTCTCTCTCTCTCTCTCTCTCTCTTTCTTTCTTTCTTTCTGCCGGGCTTAGGGGTCGGTTGGCCGACCCTCAGGCGTTGCGCCCGCCCGTCCCCCACACTGTGTTAGTGAGTGGACGGCTTTGGGGTAGTCCAGAACATGGCAATGTACAACAAAATATGCCCCGAGCTGAAAGCAAAGCCTCCCCGAACGCTAAACACGTACACAACCCCCGCCTCATCACCGCGCCCCTACTCTCTCTCTCTCTGTCTCTCTCTCTCTCTCTCTGTCTGTCTGTCTCTCGCTCTCTCTATAGACATGCCGCTGTATGCTCTTTGTAATTGCAGTCATGTCATGCAGCAACGGTCGAAAGCACGACGTCTAAGATTTCAGGTATGTGATTTATACTTGTACATGAGGAACCACAGGCACCCACCGACGCGCATTATATGCGTACAAACATAATATCATAATATCATAGGACTCACATGTATCCATTTGCATATATGTTTGCGTGCATGTACGAATGATATATATATATATATATAGATAGATAGATAGATAGAGTGAGGAGAGTACATCCAAGTACATCTGTACGTGTTCTAACACATGCATACAGCAAGTACGTACACTCACGAATGACTATCTGTCTGGTTCTGTCTGTCGGCATGTATGTCATGCAACTATGCATGCACGGTTGTGAGCATGGGCCGAACATACAGAGCTCCAGTACATCTGCATGTATGTCTCGTTTCTATGTCTGTATGTATGTTTACGTGCGTTTAGATACATTTACTCTCTCTCTCTCTCTCTCTACATATCTATATATGTATATGTATGTTTATACACATGCCTATACTTCTATTTGCAACTCTGTTTATACATAAGTGTATTTATGTTTTGCGTATATAAACAGATGCATTGTAGACACATGCTCACACTTACACACTTGCCCCTATATACATATATATATATGTATACACACAGATCTATACTTTTATTGAAAACGATATTCATTAAAAACCGAATATAGCACCCTATATAGTAGGATCCTTATTGTAAGGACACCAAAATAAGGCACCCCTAAACAGGTAGAGATGCACTCGGCCTGGTCCGGGGCGAACATAAAAACAAGGCTCAGGCGGCCGCCGGCTGCGCTGGGCATCTCCTGGGCTTTAGAGTTTTTTTAAAGGGAGTAGAGTTTAGGGTTTTATGAAAGTTTTTGTTGTTTTGACTTTATCGATTGAACTGTTTAATTGCTTTCAGGTCTGTTTTCCAGCGGTTTGCAGCTTACCCTAGCAACTGCATTCGTGAACAGTTTAGGGTTTAGTAGGGTTTAGGTTTTCATGCAAAAACTCTAGGGTTTCGAATTCTTGGGTCTTTTACGGGCTTTTTAAAGTGTTTTGACAAGGGTTTTAGAGGGTTTTACGAAGGGTTTGGGTATTATGTTTTTGCCAGAGCTTCTAGGATGGTGCGGGTAAGCAGGTATATTTCTATATATGTGCATATACACATATATATATATATATATATTTTTCTTTTCACATATCTATCTCTCGCTCTCTCTCCTCTCTTTGCCGTTGCGTCCAGAGGGTCTAGCGGCGCCTGGCAAAGCACATATGAATATGTGCTATATATATATATATATATATATATCTCTATATCTATCGTAGGATGTTAATGCCCCTCATAACACAATACGGTTCCACTCTTCATGTGAGTCGAAGCCATTTTGAACCCAGTCTCTGGCACCCCATGGCTTTGCGTGCCGAAGAGGATAAGGTCTCCATCCTCGAAAGATTCACGGTCTAGGGTGTTGATGTGCCGGGTATGCGTTATTGGCTCATCCGAAGAATACTGTTAATCGCTGCTGGGCCTTCAGGTTCGAAGGTGTGGAGTGTAAGGGTTCAGCCCCTGAAACTGCATTACAACTCTCGTACGGTTTGGGCTAACCGGTCAAGTACAAATATGCTCATAGGAATTTCCGACATGTGTAGTTGGGATTTAGGAAACCTCCTGGTTTAGCGCCCGATGCCTCCATGAGCACTTGAGCCCGGTCCACTGAGAGAACTCGCGGGGCGCCCAAAGAGATGAGCAAGGTCCAGTTGTCGTGCCGATGTGGAGAAACTCGAGACAGTGCGTCGGGATACCAGTTCATCTTGATCGTATACCCTGCCTGGCGGATGAACCCCGAATCACTGCATAGCATAAAGCCCTCAATCCTAAACTAAACCCAAGAAAACCCCAAACTCGACCTCGCTGGAAGACCTGAGAACATCTCGATTTACAGAATCCCGTCGCGTTGACGCTTTGGGCTTAGAGGAGGATTTAAACTCTCGCAACTCAAACTGTCCAGGCGTCTAGGGCATAGGGCCTCTCCATGGGTGTTCTTGAGTTTGGCGCTTACGGATTGTGTGTGTTTGTGTGTGCGTGTATGTACATATATATATATATATACACATGTATACACATACATATACACATACATTCATACGTGCGTGCATATACTCACTTAACCCCCGTACATGTATATATACATATGTATATATGTGTATGTACATAAGGCTGACAGGGTCGTGGTAGAGTTGAAGGTCCAGGAACGGCAGACAAGCACGGCGAACCGAACTTTCGATTCAGTCTAGGGGCATTTCTGTAACCCTATAGTAACCTTTATAGTAAGCCTTGAGTTACCCCAAGATTCAGCAACCCTAAAAGCAACCCTACCTCCGGGCTGTAACACCAAGGCTGTTACAGAAGCTTAACTTTTTATTGCACAGAGAGTGCAGCGCCGGCTTTCCACATCCTAAACGTAGAACGTGTCGGCTGTTGGGGTCACAGCTGCGTTGTGACACAAAACCTTGTGGCATAAACCCTCCCTTCACCGGACACTTAAGCTCTGTAGAGTGTGAGCCCCTTTTTTGCAGCAAGCCTCGTTGTCCAGCAGCCCGGTTACAGCATGAACCCACTTTTCCCCGCTTCTTCAAAGCAAGGAGAGGAGTCGAGCTGACACTCGCGACGACACCATCTGATACGACACTACTATACCGACTGATTGCAAGACTGTGAATATCCATGAGCTCGCTCAAAAACGAATCCAGAACCCACTCTAGCCTAAACCGATCTGGGGAGGCTTATTTGTCCGAAGGCTGCCTGGAAGGGATCCGGCAGGTTGAAATCTTTCACCACGTCTGCAACCAAGGCATCCAACTGAGGGGAGGCACCTGGCCTGCCAGGTCCCAAAAACGGATCGGCCAGGAAGCTGCAACGTAGGGCTTAAAGTTTAAAGCTTTTAGGGGTTTAGGGTGTAGGGTTTAGAGTTTAAAGTTTTTCGGGCTTTAGGCTGTAAGGTTTAATGTTTAAATCTTTTAGGGTTTTAGGGTGTAGGGTTTAAAGTTTACGGAGCTCGTCTCGGATCCAGTGCTTCCTTTGCGAACGGAGCATAGAGAAGGCCTACACCTGAGGTACCGCACACATGCAGTAAGAGTCTAGAATATGGCTACTATTAAGGTCCTAATATACCTGTATTATGAATATTATTCAACTTAATATGGCTACTACTAAGGTCCTAATATATCTGTATTATGAATATTATTCAACTCTTACTGTATGGGGGCCGTACCCAGCCTACAGCTCCGTCCAGTAGCGCACACCCCTCCGATACCATAATATAGGGGCCTTAACAATTTGTATGGGCTTTTGAGGCTCAGAATTCTATGGGCCTTAAAAAATAAGACTAGGATCCCTTCAAGGGGGTCTGTAAGGGTTACGATAAGGGATCTGTAAGGGTACTGTAATATAGGGGCCTTAATGATTAGAAGAGAATTTGGGGCTCATGATACTATAATAGGAGCCCCCAAAATAGTATTGGGTAATCATGTAAGCCCGTGTATTAGGGCTTTCGGTCCCTCTTTGCCTCGGGCTTATCGACTCTTTGGGGTTCTGGGAAGCTTCGGAGCTCACGCTCGGACACTCCCCAGGCGAGGCATATGGGAGGTTGTCAAAATTATGGTCCCTTTTTGGGTCCCTATTATAGTACGGCACCTGTTATTTAGGGTGCCCAAAACGGGACCCTAATTCTGACAACCACCCATATGGCTCCAGGTCTGCTGATTGAAACCACACTATAGCAGGATGGCAAGACCACGGTCAAGCCGCCTTAACAATTAGAATAGGGTTTTGGTGACATACTATAATTATGATAAGGAACCCCAGAAGAGTATTGGTAATTATTTAGGGCCCCACAGCCCCTACATTAAGTACTTCAGGGAAGTTTAGGCTTTCGAGTTGGAGTTCTTGGGGTTCTGGTTCGGCTTCGGGGTGAGAACGACTTTGGGATGACATGCTGAAGCTGGTTTTCTTGAATTCTTCGGCGCTGAATAGTTGCGTTGAAGCCACCACAAGCCGAAACATCCCCCGAAAGCACTTGTGTAGGAAGGCCCTGTAGCCACCCGTCTACGTGCCCGTAAAGTAAAGCCAAAACGAACCCTTACAGGGATCCTTTTCGGTACCCTTGAAGGAACCCTTATAGGCACCCATTTTCCGCTCTGTGCACGACCCGGCCTCCACTGCGCCACTTGTTTTGACGTGGCCTTGTCCGGCATGCGCTGCACGCAGGCGTCACAGCAGTACCTCAGGGTTTTGCGATTAAGGGTTCCGGGTATGGAAATCCGAGCACCCAAGACAGAAGCGAACCGTGAGCATCAAAGGTCGTCTGCGCAAACGCGGCCGGCCAAATTTAATACCGAAGCAAGTATGCAGGCATGCATGTGCATAACCGCCTGCCAAGCATTTAACAACCCGTTCTGGTCATGTAAAAACACTGTGTAGCAGCACTGCTCAAAAACGAAACAACCCTGACACAACAGCAGTTTGATAACAAATCCATACATGCGTTTGAGACGGTAGTTTTCCTGTGCAGCAACAAAGCACAGAAACTCCTGAAACCTTCCACCTGATTTCATGTTTTTCATGATGGCTGACGTCGCATATCAACAGCCGGAGGGGTCAAACTCCCAATCGTAGAGCTCGCAGACTCTCGCAGACTTGTCTCATGCTGGTCCTGAAGCATAGAAGCTGAGACCAAAGCCAGCTGCACTTCGAACACCACCAATAGGGCTCCTGCAGGACGCTTCCGGGGGAGCTTCGAGCTTGGCAAATTGACCCACAGCCTCTGCGTGAGTAGTCAGTGCGCACTGTCAATCCCCGTGGCGCACCTCCACTCACCTTTGAAATGATTTTTAACAAGTTCCTCACATCTGACAAACCCCAATGGAAAAAATCAGCCTGGGTTGCATAAGAGAGAACCCAAAAAAGCGAAATCCTGAAGCGGAGAAGCCAAGTGCGGCTTCTGGCAGTCTTCCCTGGCCATGCTGCACTGCCAATTCCTCAGCTGTCGGATCGAAACAGCTGCGCACAAACGGTGCTGGCAAAGCTTCTAACTTGCTGGAAGACCTGTTCTCTTGGGTTATTCACAACACACATGTAAATGCAATGGGCAGTCAGTGAAACAAGTACATCGCACAGATGAAAACTCACAAGTAAGAACCAATAGCAAATGACAGCAATGAACAAAGCAAACAGGTATGTATCTGTGTATGCACATAGTATCAAAACACGTTTGTCCATCTACGTAGCTATCTATGTAACCATCTAATCTACCCATCTATCTACCTATCTACTTAACCAGCCACCTGTTTATCATCTACATACCTATCAGTCTATCGACTTACTTATCTATCTGTCTATCTGATTATCTACTTCTGCCTAAATAGTGGCCTTAATAATTAGAATAGGGTTTTGTGGCCATTATTAATACTACAACCATAATCCCTTCCCCCTAATATTAAACGCCCCCCGCCCCCTCCCTAATATAAAAACTGGATTTCGGAGGTTTAGTTTTAATCTTAGGGGGGTTTCGGTTCGGTGCATCCACGTACCCGGACTCCCAGCTGCTAGCTATCCTAAGCCTGGAGCCCTGAGGCCCTACTAAAGCCCTAAGCCCTAAACCTGGAGCCCTGGACCCTAAAGCCCTGAACCCTAAACTTTAAGCCCTGAAGCCCCAAGCCTGAGCCCTAAACCCTTAAACCCTAAAGCTCTACTGTCTGTAATCTTTGGCTCTATTAAAACTCATACAATCCTAGCCCCTCCGAATGTTTTAAATTGACTTGCAATTGTGGGCCCGAAACCGCGAAATTCCGGGGGCCGGGAATTTTTATATTAGGGGGGGGGGTTTAGTGTTAGGGGGAAGCGATTAATAGGGAACCCCCAAAATAGTATAGGAGGCCCCTATCTTACAGAGAAATGTACCCAGAGACTCCAATATCCCTTAATTAAGGAATATCCCTTAAATCACATTAGGGATCCTACTATAATTTAAGGTATATTCCTTACTTGGAGGGTCGGGGGACTTAGTAAGTAGGTAGTAAGTAGACTTATAAGTACCCTAAACGGGACCCTAATTGGGGTTATGGTACTTATAAGTCCCAAAAATAACCAGTTACTAAGTCCCCCGACCCTCCAAGTAGTTAAGGGGTATTGGCGTCTCGGGGTACACCTCCCAGCACCGGGGTTCCCATGCGGGCGCGTCTTGGCTGCATGGTGCACGTCTTTCGGCCCAATCTGGTGCGTGTCATCGGGCACCTGGGGAAAAACGAACAACACAAACAAGAGGGTACAGGTTTCTGATTTTTTGAAGGTCCCTTTTTCGTCTCGCAAGGATCCGAGGAGGGTTTCGGGTTGAGAGTTTAGGGAGACCTGTACTGTAAAGAAGGTGGGGTATAAGGTCCATAGGCAGAAAATTGTGCCTGCTATGGGCTGCGGAGCGTTGACCGAAATTCGAACCCCACATCATTTTGTGGACATGGGTGCAAGATGGTGCAGGTTCAGAAGTTGCTCTTTTGCGCATGCATGGTCCAATGGATGCAGAAAACTTCGAAAGGTACGTAGTGGACCTTATTACTTCGACAAAAAGCAAAAAAAACTGGCAACGTGAAGCCCTGCAAGTCACCTTCTCAAGGCTCCGTCCACAGAAACCGCGTCCCGATCCGGGACATTCCTTCACGGTTCTGAGGTGCCAGTTCGCGTTGCCTTCTTGCTTCCGGACACGCCAGACCTCAGGGAGAGAGCGGGGAGGGTCTGATCTTCAGGTTTGCTCAGGAGATTCAGTCTTTAGCCTGTGCCTAAGTCACGAAACCCTCAATTCTCAACCCCGGAAAAACCCAAAGCCCAAAGCAAAACTAAGCAGATAGGCAACAGATGGAGCCTCAAGTGCCAAAGCCAAACAGAGGCAAGGCGACCCACTGCATAAATTGACGACTTTGACTTTGCGCGCCGAAAGCAAACAGGGATTTCTATCCAGCCTTCCCGCGGCCAAAGTGGAACCCTGAAGTTCCAAACAACCCCGCGAGGTGTCCTTGTCTTGCTCCCAATCGACCGTTGCAACGATCTCCTCGTGTCTACCGAGCTGCTGACCGGAAAACAGGCCACATATGGGAGTTTCCGAAAATAGGGGACCCCAATATAGTCCCCTAAATAGTAGGATCCTTATTATCAGGACCCCAAAACAGGGTACCTGGTGCTTGTGGTGCCTGCTGCTTGTGGCAGTGCGTTTATTTCTATCCTCTGCGTGGGGAATCTTTGGCTTTAGATGCGTTTTCATAGTTGACAGACAACGCCATCCAGCCGGGCTTCAGCCTAGTCTGGGTTCATACGACGCTACACTTGGCCTCGTAGAGACCGGGTTGGCGGGCATAGCCGCGGAGGTAGGTCACGTCGCAGAACCTCATAGCTCCAAGTATGCTTCGGGACCCTTTCTGCAGCAGGACCCTAAACCCTATATAAACCCTAAACCCAGGTATGCGGCGGTTTGGATTCCAACCAAATCTTTGGACGTATCGGTTGCAGGGACTTGTGTGAATTCATAAGGGACGCATTCCCAAGAGCTTGCTCAAAACCCATGCAGTCCAAGGTGCCCCTCGGCGTCCCACCATTCCATGCCCTTTGGCTTTTGCAGCGTAGCCGGGCTCTGATCCATCCTCTGACGGACCCAGGATGCCGGGCGTCCCAACTCCTCTTCAGTGGGTCCATGCGAAGCTCTTGCAAAGTTCACGGGGGGCCTACTTAAAACTAGGTCTTCAGAAACAGGGTTTTTTTTGTGTGTGAGGCTTACATATACAGAAAGCACAATATGGTACTTGCGTCTCAACACAGCTTGAAGTTTAAAGTCTTTACAATGACAACAGTTCACCAGTAAGAGTACGACACTCCCCCCATGACGACAACGACTCCATATGAATCGTAAACTAATGATGCGAATGGAAGCGAAGCGACCATACTCGTAGCAATGGAGCAGGTTCTGCAAACAACTCGTACTACCTAGGTTCGGAACAAACGGCCCCCGCGCCACCCGCACCGTCGAATTACAGAATCTCTACGTCCAAATGTTCTGAAACCCGATGAAACCCGGTAGCGACCCCCTAAACCAAGCCCTAAACCCCAAATCCCAAACTTCTGCAACAGGCTCCACTTCGCCCGGACCCTTTTCAGCATGGACTGACGTGCCGGCCAGTGCATACGAAACTCGCCCGGAGCCTAGACCCTGAACCCCACCCTAAACCCCCAAACAAGCCCTGAAGCCCTATCAAAGGGGAAAAGGAGGTACCCTTAACGGGGACCCCTACCCTATCATGGGCTATAATAATGAGCTATAGAATAGCAATGTTAAGGGTAGATACCTATAGGGGTCCTTATTGAGGGTCCCTCCTCCTACCCTAAAGCTCTAAACCCCCAAACCGCCTCAACCCCTAAGCCCCTAAACCCTAAAGCCCTTTTTTTACACCTGGACTACGCATATGTAAACCCTAACCCCTAAAGCCCTAAAGCCTTAAACCCCCAAAGCCCTAAACCCCCAAATCCCCCAGGCCCTAAAGAGCACCAAAGGGACCCTAATTTTGACAACTACCCAAACCCTAAAGCCCTAAAGAGCTCCTCAGCGATCTCCTCTACGGGCCGTCCGGCGCTTCGCAGGCGAATGGCCCGAAGGGCCTCCACTGGAACTTCGGATGACGGTTTAGGGCTTTAGGGGTTTAGGGTTTAGCGGCTTATAGGGGTTTAGGGGTTTAGGGCTTTAGGGACAATTTTTGTAAAAAGACTAGGGTTCCTTTAAAGGGGTGCTATAAGATCTTCATAGGGAAACCTCGGATGGAGGACCTTTTTGTAGGAAGACTAGGGCTCCAGTAAGGTTTAGTTTTTTTTTTGGTGGTTTAGGGTTTAGGTTTTTTTTTTTTTGGTTTAGGGTTTAGGGTTTTTTTTTTGGGGGGGTTTAGGGTTTAGGGTTTACATAGGGTTTGCTACAAGGTCTTCATAGGGTCTCGTAGCTTGTAAGATGGGGGCCTTCAAACCAACTTCTACGAAGGGAACCTTTTTAAAAGGCTCCCTTAGGAGGACTCTTCAAAGGTCTCCCAGATGGTACAGCGGTTCGGGGTTGTAGGGTTTAGGGGTACAGGGTTCAAGGTTGCTAGGCCGAGGGGAGATTGTGGATCCGACAGCATATTCTTAAGAGTAGTGCCCTATTACGGGGTGAAAACCCTAAACGCTTTCGGAGGGGATTACTATAAGGGTTGCACGCCCAGATGCGCCTAGTACGCGTGTACCGTTGAATGCATTGTCACATGGGTGGTTGTCAAAATTATGGCCCTTTTTGGGTCGCGTATTAGAGGTTTTTTCTCGTTACCCTAATTTTCGGAAACTCCCATATCTAAGCATTAGAGTCGCCACCTCACGGTAGGCGCGCACATCTGCGCGCTCCGTCGACCGCCTGGCTATCCAGGGTTTAGGGTTTAGGGCTCAGTTCTTTTTTGAGCTCCTTTTTGATGCCTGCTCCCGGGTCACAAACATCAAGGCCTAGTAGACGAGGAGATACAGACCAGGGCTCAGGGTTTAGGGCTTAAGGTTTAGGCCTACACAGGTGGTGAACCAGGGCTTTGTCTAGACACTTGCCGGCTGCGAGCTTCCGAAGTAGGATGTAAGACGTGGGGCAACATGCTGAAGCGGAGCTCAGAAAACCATAAAGAGCACTTGTCGGCACACCGGCTCAGCTGAACACTCAAGATCTTGCCAAGTTCAAGCCAACGTGCTCTGTGGTTTGGTTCTTTGTTTGTCCAGGGGCACCCAGATCTTGAGAGAATATCCCTGACCCAAAAGCCTATAACGACTTCCACTTTCCAGAGCACCTGGTAGTAGCGTCCACCACTCGCAGCTGATGGCGGCCGGTCCAGCGCAATGCTGCCAGGTCTTGCGGGTCCTGATGAGGGGCTTTGCAACTTAGGCCCCTTTTTTGCTAAACCCTAAACCACAAAAAATGGGACACAGAAACTTAGGATCCTGGTGGGGCCGTGATGCCGTTGCTGCACCTAGAGTGGTTTCAGCTTCCCAGCCAAGGTGACACATGTGACACATTGCTTTTGCTGTGTGACACCTTGCTTTTGCTGTGTCAATCTACGAGGGGAGGTTTTTGGATCTTGGATGAGGTAGCAGTCCCAATGATAGTGGTAGCAGTAGAAGAAAACAGAAATATACTGGTAGTAGTATAGCAGTTGTCGTCGTTGTCGTCGTCAGAGTCGATTGCGGTCGCAGTAGCAGCAGTAGCAGTAGTGAAAGAAGTGATGGTGGTAGTGGTATGCAGTGGTAGCGGCGCGTGGTACTGCAGCATTGCGGCAGCAGTAGAATTAGTGCAGGACCAGCAGCAGCAATATGAGGAGGACATGGGAAGGAGGGGGAAAAGCAGAAGTCCCAGACAGAAACCCTTGCGCACAAGGTGCAGAAACAAAAGCTAATATCAGCCGAAAGCTGAATATTCGCTGTGTTGTCCACATCCAGCCAAACTGCCGCAATTTCTTCCTCTTTATTGAAACGGATAAACACCTGAAGCCCACGCGGTTCTTGTACGATGCTAATACAGCCTTGACCATCTCCACACCGCAGACTTTGGAACCAGCTGCAGTGCTGTGACTGCTCTCTGCCGCGATTATAGTTATTGTTGCTGCTGTTCGACAGCTGCCCTTGTCGTTGCTCTTGCCGCGTGGTTGTTGCGAGACGAAGTCGTGACGAAAACATCATGGTCAACAACATTGGTGTGGGTTGTTGCTGCTACAGAGGGTGGTGGACGTCGGAAGGCGGGTGGCGGAGGTGGGAGTGCGGACATGGGTCGCGTATAGTAGCGGTGGTTGGACTATTGATGGTGCAAGGTTGAGATTTCCGATTTTGCTGCAATCGGAAATCCGCGCTAAACCGGCGTCCTGGCTGTATTGCACTAGCACCTCTTCCGAGGATCCGCGTGGCACGAATTCAATCCTTGGTTTGCAACACACTGGAGCAAAAACATGTTGCAAGTCTAGGGCAGTCCCCGAGCCATACCTGAACAAACCGATGCCTTCAAGCGGAAGCAAGGGTGCGAACGAGAAAGTCACGGGGCGCATCCTGGAGCCCTGTCCTGCCGAGTGGCCTTGCTCTGTATCTCCTCTCCTGATGATCCCTAAATATATGGGTAGTTGTCAAAATTATGGCCCCTTTTTCGGCACCCTAAACATTAGGTGCCGTACTATAATAGGGCCCCAAAAAGAGACCCTAATTTTGACAACCACCCATATGTAAGTAAGATACCGAATGCTTCGACAAACACCCCAACAGCGGCGAGGCTGAGAACAGAGCGATTTCGAGCAGCATGCGATGACAATGAACGGTTTAGGGTTTCGGCGCTCGCACTCGGACCAAGGGTTTATAGGGTTTAGGGCACGGTTTAGGGCCTAAAGTTTAGGGTTCATTGTTTAGGGTACTGTTAGTATTACGACGACTACGGCTACTACTACTACCACTAAGGCCAGCCGAGGCTCTGCCCCAGCTTGCCAGAGCTATCGGCGATGGTGCAACCGGGAGAAAGGGGCCCTGGCCGCTTCGAGGATTTTTTCCACGAGGTGTCGGCTTGAGGGTTTTAGGGTTTTATGGGGTCTGTGCCTTGAGTCCCTTTTTTTGCAACTGGGCTTGGGGACTAGCCAGATCCTTGCATGTCGGCCCTAAACGGCCCTAAAGCCTAAACCGTGAGCATATGATTTTAGGCCTCGGTTCCAAACTTGGGACACAACTTCCAGGAAGCGACCCAGTGCAGCCCCCAGGGTCCGAGTGAGAGCTGAACCTCCAAGAGCCCCTAAGCCCTTAGCCCCAAAGGGTTAAAGGCAAGGTTAAAGGGCTAAACCCAACACCCTAAGCCCGTACATCCTCAGGTCCGAACAACCCACATGAACGGTTGTCCAGGCGTTTATAGCCAGCCCGAATGACGGGTGCAGTTGGGCTCCGCCCCTCACCTTCACATGCAGCCGCCAAAGGCCTGACGACTCCATGAGATGATATCAGGATAGGAATAACAGCAGTGATAACAACAATTCTTATAGCAGTATGTCAGTATAAGAGTGAGCCATAAGCTCAAAACAAGCATAACGGTCATACTAGCGGACTAGCAGTCTCTCACACTCGGACTCGTGAGAGAGGGGGTTTAGGCGCTTGCCAGGAGTCAAGTTTGTTTGGATCTTGATAAAAGCAGTAATGCAAAAAGCAATAGGAACGGCGACTAGTAGTAGTAGTAGTAGTTGTTGTTGTTGTTGCAGCAACAAAAGCCTTAACAAAACAACCATGGCACCAGATCCGCCTTGGTTGCAAGCTGCGGGCCGCACGGCGTAGCCCACTTTAGAAGCTGCAAGGTCCAACGGCTCCGGCCTGAAGCCATGGTTTTAGGGCTTCGGCGCTCACACTCGGAGAATCCAGGCGGGGCATGTGGTTCGAGGTCTGCTAATGATGTTGTGAAACTTGTCTAATGAGAGGACCTTGTGAAGACAAGTGCCCTAATCAAAGTACACCTACAATAATGGCATCACCCCTCTCACTGAGATCTTTGCTTCTCATGGTATGACCTAGTTCAAGACCTCAGCCGCTATCGCAGACAAAACCGCTCATGAAGGGTTAGGGTGAAGGGTGAGGGACTACTAAGGTAGGTCATAAGAGCCCGGGACGGGCGAGAGTCTACGAATCACAGACTGGTTGGGACAGGCTGTACGAGGTTGGCAAACTTGTTTCACCTAGAATCTGCACCGTTGTACTCCATTCTGGAGCATCGAACGCCACTGAACCTGTGTATGAATAGCACTGCACCCTGGCATCCAGAAAAATAAACGGCTGAACAGCCCAGCTGTGTGATGCGTTGTTCAAGTTATACTGGAGGTACAGTAAGATCGACAGGAGACCATCGCCAAGCGCTTTCCCCACACGCTAGAGAGTTTTGTGCGTACTGAAAGCCTGAAGTCGTGTGCGAGAGGCGTAGGTGTTGGCTGCACCTCTGCACATAGGTCGGGGCCACGCTTGCCCCACCGTGGCATGGCTTCTGAGGTCAGCTATGGGCGATCTGCCGAACGGCATGGGAACTGGGGTTGAGTTGCATCAGTTCAGTGAGTCTTCCGGCCTCGCGCCCTCATCTGACTTAGGTACATCATGTTACGGCCAGTGGGTGAACTGTCATGCCTTCAGGGGGACGGGGGGGCCTACTGGATGCCATTCACCGTGGCAGGATCTAGATCATCACGGCAACATCACGGATGCAGGCCTGTCGCTCTCCCCATGAAACTCCAAGTTGACATGAGACCCAACCAACCCTAAGCACTAAACTCTAAACCCAACCAACCTTAGACCCTAAGCCCTAAACCCAATCAACCTAAGACCCTAAACCCAACCAACCTTAAACCCTTAAGCGGTATCATGCCGCCGTGCAATGCTTGGGCCCGACCTCTGCGGGGCATGGCAAGTATGTCAACGAGGAAGCTTTAGGATGCTGGGTTCAACAGCCCCTTGGCTGTCTAACTGTTTCGGATCAGGTGATGAGGGTGTTGTGTCTCATGGCCGCCGGTACCGAAGATCAACTTGGGGTTTGTGATATTTACCTTCAATGTCAATTCGCAAGCACGCAAGATGCCACCCTTTTCTCGTGCCTGGGCCTTTGGTTGTCAATGTCTAAGCAGTGCAGGTGAAGAGAAGCGTGCTCGCGATTTCGGGAAAAAAAGGAGAAAAGAAATGAGGAGAGATAACAAAGCAAAGGCGGAGGGCTGGAAAACGGATGATACGTGGAACCTTTGGAGGAAGAAGGTAGACAAGATGAGGAGTGGCAACGAAGGGAAACTCCCTTGCGTCACTGCTTCGAGCATCCCCTGAAGCAAGGTTTTCTGCTGGGAATGCGTCACTGCCGAAGCGAGTATCACAGGCCCGGCGTGCTCGCTATTCGTCACAGCATCATAAGGACTGAGAAGTTGATTTGGATAGACCCTCGCACCACTTTGGCGGCGACCCGGTCATCCGTAAGTGTCCCGTTGGACCCGTTGAGCACTTCTGCGGAAGAATGCAACATGCCATCGTGCCTGACTGCAACATGCACTCGTGCATCGCTTGCGAAAAAGACTCCAAATCATGGCAACAGTGCTGCCCGGGCACATTAAACACGCGAAGCCGATTCATGGGAGGGCTGTTGGACAAGATACCCAGAGGCTCCATAGTAGTTCGTTTTTGGGAACATCTTATATTTCAGGAGGCTAAATATGAGCCCCAAAAAGGAACTAATGGAGCCTAGGCGTACTACTCAGACCGCTACAAGGGCGACGCAAGGTGGAGCTGGCCCTGAATTTCCGCAGATCAACCTTGGGATACACCCCTTGGGATCCCGCAGGGTTGAGGGCAGCAGAGACTTTCAGACAGAGGATGGAGGCAAGCACTCTTGCGAGCCTCTAAGAACGTGGCATGTCTGAACAACCAGATGCTCCACTATCCCTTAGTTTTAAGTTCAAAGAGCTTCCAGCAGTATCAGTTGAATTACTCGAGCCACACTGAAATGCCTGAAACTTTGAGGCAAGCACTCTTGCAAACCTCTTGGCCCCTTAGCATTTCGAACGTAGCTTACTCACAGCCGGTTCATGCTGCATCGACTTCGTCCTTGCACAAAGACGGACACAGCTCTTTAACCACAACTTGTGCTTAAATTGCATGTCACATACAGAAGCATAGAAACCATGTGCGCCGAAATGCATAATATACATATATATATATGTATGAGTATATGTACATATATATATATATACATACACATAAACATACATCTCTCTCTCTCTCTCTCTCTCTCTCTCTCTCTCTCTCTCTCCAGGGCACTCAGTCGCTGTCAGGCCCATACATCTAACTATCTTATCTGTCTCTATATATCTATTTGTCCATCTGTCTATACATACACTTGTATACAGTCTATATATATATATATAGACATATACATGTATAGACATAGATATTTAGATATATGGTTGTATCTTTATATGTACATACAAATGTGTAGATATAGTCAAAGAAATCTGATGAAACGTTAATGTAAAGATATATACAGATGGACAGATATAATTTCATGGAGCTTTAAGTAGCGGCTTGACAAACTGCGCGACAAAACCTAAATAAGTTGCATGTGACAGAACCTCGGGGAATGTTTACACTTTACGCAGTCGGTTGTTCAGTATAGCATACCATGTAACCCGAATCCGAGGACAAAGAACAGGTAACATGCAAAAAACAACACAGAAGATCTTGTACCACGCGATAGTATACGTAGCACATCCTTATTACAGTACTGTGTAACCTGCTTTACAGAACGAGACAATTTAGTGTCGTGGTAAAGTCCAACTCACACACATGGCCATGCATGCAGAGGTCTGAACAATGTCTACACACACTACATTTCTTAAAGGTGTGCAGTCGGTCATGCACTCAGGTAGTTCTCTTGATGTTCCCTTCTTGGTCATTCCGAAACCCTACTTCGTTCTCCGACTCAAAGGCTGGATCTGCTTCGGAGGGAAGGAAGCCGCAGAATACTTCCAGTGGCGAATATAAGGACCTTAACAATTCGATTAGGGTTTTGGGGCCCATTATACTATAGTTATAAGAAGGAACCCCCAAAATTTAGGCCACTACAGAACCCAGTCCATCTGAATGGATTACTTTTGAAACCTCGTCTCAAGTCCTCGGCAAGGGGCATCCTGCAAACGCCGGAAAAGTCTTCCTGCAAAGTTGACATCGGGGGTTCTTTCTTATAACTATAGTATAATGGCCCCCAAAACCCTAATCGAATTGTTAAGGTCCTCATATCTCATAGTCTACGTAGTTATAGTATAATGGGCCCCAAAACCCCATTCGAATTGTTAAGGCCCTTATATTAGCCCGACCGCCTGAACTCCAATCGGTATCATGGCCTCGAGCATGTCGAGAAGCGAGGTGCGGAGTGCCTCCGCCGATGGAACCTTGCTGGCGGCATCGGGTATCGAGTCGAGAGAATGAGACAAGGCCCGAGAGAATTAAAGTCGCGAGTGCAGCACAGATCACAAAGAGCACTTGCAGGAGCAGGACACTCTCTAGAGCTGCGAAGTCCTTCCAGAGATCAGAAACGCCGCCCGAACCCACGTGGCTTCTGGCAACACGCAACAGCATCCTTAAAGCCCACCGCGTCCCGCACCAAGCGGCCTCTTCTTGGGCTGGCATTTCACGATGCGATCGGGTGAACAAAGGCTCCAAGAGCTGCTTTGCTTCAGCCAGCCACCTCTCCTTACGAGCTCTACCGGCAGGTTTTACTCTCTGTCTCTCTCTCTCTCTCTCCCTCTCCCTTTCCCAGGCATTCGAAACGTCAAGCCCGGCTGCAGGAAGGTTTTACCCTAAACCATAAACAGTCTGCAGGCCTTCGACTTTACAGTCAGAAACGTCCCGAAACGGGCATACACTGTGCCAACTCGACATCAATACCCAAATGCCCATGACAGGCGCCTGCAGACGCGGCCGATCGCTCAGGCGCCAGAGGAGGTACGAAGACGTCAGCAATGCATCGAGGTTCTTAGGAAAGCCAGGCTGAAGTATCCAAAATAAGGTACCCCCATTTAGGTTGTTTGGGTACGGGTAGCCTGGATGGCCAAATAGTAGGGAAAAAGCTCATATCTCAGAGTTCATATGATTTCGTCAGAGTTCCCTGTTCGGAAACGTGTAGGAATGACTCGAAATGAACACGAGCGAAGAATCATGCATTCTTCAGCGTAGTCTCTTGTCAACCTGGTTGATACCTACTTTTGCCACGAGCAGCTCGGTTCTGTGTGCTGTTTTTGATCACCTGAAAATCAGCTGGACCTGGTTTCGCACTACCTTGCTGAACGGACGCTCCGCTAAAGGTACTGAAGCCAGCCGGTGCACATATTTGCATATCAAGTGGCATACACTTCCGCTTGCTCCTCCATCGTCGAAAGCCAGCCACTGGATCGCTACATGCACTGGAGAGCTCAATACCCAGCTGGAACCGTCACATGTGCTGAATTTCCATTGCATTCCCTTCTGCATGACAGAACCCTGTTATGCACGAATTTTCCACTATGCCCCCTCATGCCGGGTGTCCTCGTCGAAGACCTGGACTGCGTCATCCCGCCAGTGCCGATGGCAGCTGGGGCAGTCCAGCCAGCAGCAGCCACACTGAAGAGTCTGGAAGCCCTGAGCCAGCCAGGGTCGAGGGTGTAGGGGTTTGAAGGTTTAGGGTTGGTTCAGGGGTTTAGGTGCTCACACTCGGACAATCCAGGCGAGGCATATGGTTCGGAGTCTGCCAAAGTGAAACGTACTAACGGGATGGTCACATGATGATTCTTCAAAAAGCTGGGGAGTCTGCCAAAGTGAAACGTACTAACGGGATGGTCACATGATGATTCTTCAAAAAGCTGGAGTATAGCAACACATAAAGTGACTGTATAGGGGTTTAGGGTTTAGCGTCTAGGGTGTTACATAAGACATGGTATAATGAGTATATAATGCAGGGTTGAGGTTTTAGATGGGTTTAGGGTTTACGGTGAAATAGCAATACTGAGACAACGAAGAGTTGTTAGGATCAGATTTCAATCAATCCTAGAGGAACCCAGAGCATGCTGCCTGTCATACGGTTGTCTCGAACCGACCTTGGAAGCACAGCACATGTGTCGTGATGATGTTGATGAACAATGTGTGATGCAGCTGTGGGCCTGGGGAGTATGGTACGTAGCACACATACACGTATTGTCAGATGCATTCTTTCGCCATGGGGAGCCTGGCTTGTTAGTACTATTCCTGAATTGTCACCTTATCCCTGGTTGATCCCATGCCCATTAGCTTTATAGGAAAGTCCGCGATGTCTATTTCCTCCACATCCAAACACAGCAACAATCACAGCTTGTAGGACCATGGACTTCAGCTTCATTCAACCAGCGTTTGTCCTCGTAGATACATACTGTCGAAAACGCATGGGAGTTGCAGGCTATGCTGGGATTCACACCGCTTCTGCTGCATCCTTTGCGACGGC